CAGGTACCCTGGGTCTCCCCAAACTTCAATGAAAGGGTAAGGCATCACATAGTGAACCTATGTCAGTTGCCGGGAACCAGTTCCAGCATGTCATAATTTCAAGAGTTTCATCAAAAGGTTGATGAGACTTGGGGACTCACCAGGGTTGAGTCACACATGTAGTCACCTGTTGGGAATGGCTAAAGGCATTTCCCCAAACCTGAATAGGAAACTGATTGTGGCTGCCAGACAGCTAAAAGGCATCTTAATCTACATGTTATTGCCTCCTACTGGCCAAACACCTGAACAGCCGTAGGCTAATTCCCCCAAACTGACAATGCTTCTGTACCCTTTGAAACCTTACCCTTTGAAGTGTATCATCTCCACCTTGCCTTAGGACAAATTGTGTTAATAAAAGCAAGGGTCCAAACAAGGAGGGAGTCTTCAGTTCCTTTAGCTAAAGGTCCTCTGACCCCCAATACCTTTCAAAATTATATCTCATCTCCAGACTCTTTATTAATCTCTGGATTCCTATGTCATCTGCGCACAGCCTTTTCCAGATTCCTGAACCCTTCTTGATGCTGGGACATGAACCCCGGCAGTCAGTGGGGGCCCTCCCTGGAATATTTTACTGAGTATCTTCAGTCACGGAGACTCCTACCACTCAGCACCTGCGGCAGGCAGCTGGCCATCAGCACGTGGGTGGCAGTACAGGTTTTCAATGGGCAGAGCGCTCCCTGGCGCTGTGCAGCCTCAGTGGCAGGGTGCTGCCTACACTTCTGATTGGCGAGGCTGAGCCGGCCCTGACGCTCCTAGGATTGTCTCGCTTTTGTCTAGAACCATTTAGAGTGAAGATTAAAGTTAGGGGAAAAGGGACTATCAGTTTAGTACGTTATACTTCTGGTTAGGGATTTTATTTGTTTTTAAAGATGCAGCCATTGATTTCACATTAAAACCGCCCAGGACATCTCAATATTTAAATTAAACATGCAATAATAAAAAGGTCATCTCATATGCAATTTCATACATTAGTAATTAGCAAAGCATTAGTGAACTACAAGGTAAAAAGCTATGAGAACATAACTAATGAACTATCAATGCCAAAGTACACTTTATAATAAAACAAGATGTTAATAAATGTTTTATTAAATGGCTACAAACGAACGGTTTTGTTAACATCTAATAGGGAACTACGTACTAGGCTACTTAATTCACATCCACAAACGAGGACCTCGCAGGCAATTAACTTTACAATTGCTGAAGGTCAGGGCTTTGGATGAGAGTTACTGAGCTACACCTTTAAGTGCTGTGCTGTGGGGGTCAAGTCTAAGCCTTCCCTCAGCTGCCTGGAGTCTGGGTGTAGCTGCGAATATGCCCTGAAGCAGCTATTAAATGGCCTGCAGGTGAACTACAGAAAGTATAAGGAATACTCAGCTCAAAGGAAAGGAATTGTGAGGAAAACTCCACAGAGTAGTCTCTGTATATCTGGGCACTGATTGTTATTTGTAGGCGATGGATGATGAGGCACCAAAGATACGTTTATCAACTGCACATGCTTGTTTGCCTCTTACTGTGATTGCAGGGGATCTGAAACTCACCAAGAATACAGACCAGCACTAGTCTATTTTCCGATGGTCTCCAGCAGCAACAAATGTTAGACTCATCAGAGAAAGGACATACACAGTTTTATGGATGCAAGAAACTGTCCTATTCCTCTTATAGGTGCACACGTATCCTGCTTTTTAAATAAATAAAAAAACCTGCTTTTTAAATAAATCGAAATGAAAGCTATGCTAAACCAGATAGGACAAGGAAGGAACTATTTTATGTCTTCTCTCCAATTTACATAAACCGACCGTCTACACAGGACTGCAATTTTCCTGGATTTATTACACGCCAATTTGTGACCAACGGCTATCGCTATACACCGACAGGAAAAAAGGGGAGGAGCCAAAGAGAAAGACACAGAGATTCTTAGTTATATAAAGAATTTCATCCTCTATAGTTTATATTTTTAAAGGGCAGTTTCAGAACAGCGAGAATCAGTAAGATGAGTATATAGAAATAACAGAAATAATTGCCAAAGATGAAACGCTACAGCAGATTAACAACTTGTTAAAGGCAGACGCAGTGGAGATAAAGTTGTTCATGTAGCTGAAACGGAGCCTGAGACTCCTGCTCAATGGGGAACCTTAACTAAAAAAGGAAAAATCAATGAGAAGTGAGGCTGGTTCCTGCTCTCAGGAGTTCCAACCAAGCGAGACGAGGAAAGAAGCCACAGCTCGGCCGTGTCAGTGCAGGAGACAGCCACGTCCTGCTCAGGCTGGTGCCACTCGGCGCCTGCAAGCTCAAATGCCACCTCTCTTTTTTCAATCCTCACCCGAGGATAATTTTCCATTGATTTTCAGACGGAGTGGATGGGAAAGATGAGGGGGATGAGAGAGAGAAACGTGGATTGGTTGCCTCCTGCACATGTCCAGACCAGGAATGGGGAGCAGACCTGCGACCGCGGCACATGCCCTTGACCGGGAATCGAACCAGCGACCCTTCAGCCTGTGGGCCGACGCTCTAACCACTGAGAAACTGGCCAGGGCTAAAATGCCACATCTTTTCTTCTTTTTTAATCCTCACCTGAGGACATTTTTTCCATTGATTTTTAGAGAGAGCAGAAGGGAGAGGGAGAGACAGAGAAGCACTGATATGAGAGAGGTACGCCCATTGGTTGCCTCCCGCATGCCCCCACCAGGGCCGGGAACCTGCAACCAAGGGATGTGCCCTTGACTGGAATCGAACCCAGGACCCTTCAGTCCACAGGCCAATGCTCTATCCACTGAGCATAATCAGCCAGGGTGGAAATGTCACACCTTTTGATTAGCAATAGTTATAAGGTGAACATTGAAAATGAGAAAACAAAGCCATACTACAAATGAACATTTTTAGCATGATAGACAATTTTCAGATTCATTATTTTTATACATATATGAGATAATATCATCGGGTAGGCTTTCCACCTATGTCAACTCATAAAACCTAAGATGCAATTCCATTGATGGTTCAATAACTGTATTGCTCTGAAATGGAATTTCAAATGGTATTGCTTTGCTATCACCCCCAGAGTGATTTCTGAATACAGAGATATCAGCTGCGATTTCACATACAGCCACAATGGGTTGTACTCTGAAGGGCTACTTTCTTTCCTGACTTTTTACCAACCAAAATTCATTAGTATAACATGAGGGATAACAAGAACACCGTGTATCTTTCTGCAAAATTATTCCAGTTCTCTCCACTCTAAGAAGTGGCCTTACGGAACAGCAACCCTCCTTCTGACACTAGAATTTTTGAGTCTCCTGTGCTACATAGAACACCCCTGAAATTAAACATGCTTCTGATGACTCAACTGGACACATTTCAAAAATATCTGTCAACACAATATCAACTACAACGCAATTATCCATATTCACTTATATGACTCCACTGGAAAATCCCTTCTTTCCTGATAACATTTTCCAAGTGAAAACAGTGAGCCAGCACTGCTGAGTGGTTCGGTGGGTGCTAGTGAATGACACTGGGTAAAGTTAGCTCTGTGCTCGCAACCTGGGGGAGAAGTGTGTGTGCACACGACTCCATGCTCAGTGAGGAAATCCGCCACCTGCCGACTTCTCCTGTACTTTCTCTAATTCCTCAGGAAGAGGGTCAATAATAGAAAACCAACAATACAACTGCAGCTACTCTTGGCTGCACTACAGATAAAAACACAAGAGTACTTGGCAGTTCCTAGGTCAAGAGTAAAAGAAAAGACAGCAAGATTTTAACTGCGAGGACCTCCTGTCAGCTCATCCTCAGGGCAAAATTCCTTTAGATGGTGCATTTAATGGCAAAAAAAAAAGGAATTTATGCATCGGGAGACCATTGCATCACCGAAGCCTGACTGAGAGGCTGACATCCACAAAGCGGGGACTCCAGGAGCAGGCTCTGTAGGGGACACTCTCCCCGGGTCCCGAGTCCTCTATCTGGGTTTCATATGGTGACGATGCTTTCCCTCTAAGTCTAATGGAAACTCAGGGCAGAGTAGAACTAAATACTCACAGGCCTGTCAGGGCCACGTGGCTGCAAAGCTGCCAATAAGAGCAATGCGGCGGGACCCCGCCCTCTCTGCTTGTGTCACACATGATGTAACGGAGACACGGCTGTGGCGGTTCGGGACAAAGACAGAGGTCAAACTTCCTGTATCTGGAGACATTTAATAAGGAAATGGATCGGCTCGCACAGCTCTCACTGGTCAGCACTTTCGTACGAACGGGCTGCCACCCCTGGGCCCGCCGGTGCCGGAAGTTCACGGAGACACCAGTGCGTGTGCAGACCAAGCACGCGGCTGGTGCAGCCTCGGGGACAGCCCGAGACGGGCCGTCACGCAGAAGTGGGCGGAACGACTCCCTAGGTGACAGGTGGCTAGTGGCCTGATTACACCCGAGGATGAGTTTCAGAAAGGGCGCTGGGACGCGCATCCTCAGGAAGGACCCCGAAGGCCCTGTCTAGGGGTGAACGCGGTGGTTCAGGGAAGGAAGATGGAGAGCAGGTCCCACCCCTCTCATCCTGCGCGAAATGAAATGTCCTCACGGTCACCTGACTTGTGCTCAAGGACCGCACTTGGGCGTCCACAATGAGTTTCCGATGTAATGGACACAGCCCAGCGGGGAAAGTAGGGCTGTCTAGTACCAGGTAGACGCTGGCCGTGTTCACAGAGCCCGAATCCCATTTTACATCTCCGTCCTTGTCTACACACGTGCGATGATTTGTGCACAAGAAAAACCCACAAAAAACGGTAGTAAGGGGAGTTCACTGGCCCAGCCATAAAAAACTCAGCCATCACCTGGAACCACTCTTCGAAAAGAGCAAACAGCGTACGTAAGTTTGCTCAGTTCCTTTTCCTACGGAAAAGGCTGGGCGTGTTGAACTGAAACCTGTGTTGACGCCGCAGACGGCAGTCTCCGTGTGCGCCCCGAGCCGGGAGGAGTTACCTGCTTTCCAGTGGGACATTACTGCCAAGGACCCAGCTGTCCTGCAGCTGGACGGACTCGGGTGTGGTTTGCAGCTCGGCGGGCAGCGCAGCCGGCGGGGCCGGACTCTGGTTCCTCCTGTTCGTCAGGGAGTTTCTGTTGAGGGAGGTGATGGACGGGTGGTGCTGGGCCGCGTGCTGCTTGTGGGGCGGGGGCAGCGGCTGCAGGGTGGACTGGCCTTGGCCGTTGGCAGGTTGCTCTGAAAATGGAAAAGGACACCCGTTACCTATGTGTCCGCGGACAGCCACACCGACACACGCTGCCCGTTGCTCGGGATCCGCTGCGTGAATTAGAATGAAAACCTGCCTATGAATCCATAACCTAATACATTTGCATATTATTCTATTAAGTGGGTGTTCGGCGACATTCTCTAAGAGTGGCTTTACCCTTGATACACAGAGTTCTAATTAATATACAACAGATGGCAAAATTGCTTTTGGTTCTAATTTGCTTCAGACTTTTTTTTCATCTGGTTTTATTAACACCTACAGAAAACATATCCGACAGCTCCCCTAATGCGCCTTTTGATTCCAGCCTTATTTAAACAAACCAACCCTGAAATTAAATGGGTAGTTTCGGTAGAACACAAAGGTTTGCGAAACGCGTATAATCTCTATAATTATTTGATGGCGTTTTTTAGAGAGTTATTTAACCGCAATAAATTATTCCAAGCTCGCTGCTCGACAGCGGCAGATCTGCTTTAGTGCGTCCGGGACGCGGCAGGTCTGCGCCGCGACCCGCTCAGAGATGCCAAGGGTTCTTCAGCAGAAGGTCACTCTGGGAAGCAGATGCTGCTTCGTGGATATTTAACAGAAGCACATCTGACCACCACGTCGGAACACTTGCGGGCTTAATGACCGTTACACTCACTGGAACACACAGCAGACTTGCCAATTTCACGGCGGGACCGCGGCAGAACGGCGTGCGGAGTCAGTCCCAGGTGACCAGAGTGGGGTGTGCCCCTATGTCAGTGGTACAAAAATTTTGTCCTAAACCAGAATCAGGAAAGATCCAGAAAACTTCCAAATATAAATACAATGTTAGGTTGTAACCAGAAAAGGGTTCCCTAAAGCTACGATGTTGTAAAACTTCCAAATATAAATACAATGTTAGGTTGTAACCAGAAAAGGGTTCCCTAAAGCTACGATGTTGTAAGTGAAAGTTTGCAGATTCTGAGCCATACTTTGCAACCCCATTACCTACCCAGCTTTGGAAATGCCAGAATTCACAAAGACTACATTTTAGCAAGCAGACAGAGGACTCCTTCATTTCATGCTAAACTTATTATGGTTCCACACACAAAGATGTCAATTTTTTACTAAATGTAGTTCAAAGGGCAATATAATTTTAAAGTGATGTATTAAACCATGCTATTAATATAAATGCACATATTAAAAGGGAATAGGAAACATAGGGACTATCTTTCATCTACAATGTGAACGCCAGCAGTGATGAAGCCAAATTAGACAGCCAAGCATTATAATTCTGGTCACATGAAATGAATACATGATATATAATAGTCTAAATATATATTACTAAACCTCTTTACAGGGGACACCAATTAAAATAAGCCCTCCCCGCGCATATAACATCAGTAATTACTGCGTGCTCCGATTGGTCTCAAATAATCCATTTCACATCATTTAACAAGTAATAATTTCTTACTCTTGAAGTGAGGGCCAGAGATATCACGTAAATATACGAAAAAAGCAGCTTCCTTGCCCAGTCTCTATTCGTGAAGATCCCCATACTAGACACGAGAGAAATGTGGCCCAGTCCATTGCTTTGGTGCTCATGAAAAATTATGTGTCTAAACCTCAGTTAAATTGAAATTAGCCTTTGGGGGAAACGGCAGAGTTAAAATAGCACATAGTTTAACGGTGTTAGAAAAAATGAAACTAACAGTTTAAAATTCATAGAAGATTTATCGCTCAGGTACACAGAGTAATTAACTAGCTCTGCCGCCCCAGCATCCGTGCATGTGTGTGTCGTTAAGGGACATTTCAAGCTGCTTGTTGGATGACAGAATAAGCTACAGTTACCGGGGCCTAGGCCAGGTTGGTGTCAATGGAATGGAAACAGGGAAAAGTACTAAGATTGTGTCTAAAAAGAAGAAGGTTGGGTCAGATGACTCCGTGTTTTTAAGCATGGTGCCATGAAAGAGTGGTACTATAAAATACATAATGAATTCTATATCTCATATATAGAATTATAATAAATTATTCCATATAATTCTATATTACATATATATTAGAGGCCCGATGCAAGAAATTCGTCTCGCAGTCCTGGCTTTGTCCGAAAGGTTGTCTGGAAGGTCGTTTGGCTGTCCGGTCTAATTAGCATGTTATGCTTTTATTATTATAGATGATCTACAGGGTGTCCCAAAAATGTATACACACTTTAACAGCTTACAGGTTAATTTTGAAAATGAAATGTATTTTAATAAACACTGCCTTTTAATTATTCAAAGTGTGTACATGCATTTTGGGTGGATACTCTATGTAGAATAAATTATAAATAAGGTATTACACTACATAAAGGAAAGAGCTGTGTAGCAGCGGTCACAACGCCACATTAATTTCTAACTCTGTGGGCATCATGACAGGGGGCCTCAGTTTACTCATCTGTAAGATGGAAGTAACACTGCCCCATTGAGCTATTCGTGCAATCTAAGGATTCAATGACATACACTCATTCATTCATTGATTCACCCAGCCATCCTGCATACATACATCAGGTCTCTATGTTTCAAGGATATGCTGTTCATAACAGGTGAAAGCACTGTGTCGATGGGAAGGCATTGTGAATTTTCAGATGGTTATTGAAAATGAAATGATTTTAAGATATATTATCATCATCAAATATTTCAACAGGCTGAACTCAAGATTCTAAATCTTAAAGCAAATAAAAAGATAAATAGTGAGAAAAAGCTTCCATGTAAGGTTTCAAAAATAGTTAGCGCCACTGTGGCCTCCTCTAGGTTCCCTCGTTCATTCGGCACCTGTATCGTCTGGGAACGCAGCATGTACAAGGCATCCTGCAAAGACCCACGCTCTTTCCAGCTGCGTGTCCGGGCTATTTCAGCTCAGTGTGTCCTGTCTGCTGGGTCCTCGACTACATAATCAGGAGACCTACCAGCAAAACAAATCCAGATAATAAAAGCGCGGGCCAATCTAAAATTTGATGGAACAGAGTAAGGGCAGCGTCTGAGTGGAGGAGCTGAATGGCCAGAAATGTAACTTCTGCAGCAGCCCACAAACAGTTGCAAGGCCCTTGGCCTCGGCTGGCGGTCAACGCTTCCCTAGAGTTTTGGACTCATTAGGACATAAAACTGGCTGAGTATGTGCTTATCTACACCAACGTATTCAAGACAGAGTAGGTTCACACAGGAGAACAAGATAAAATAAGACTGAACGTAGCCAAAAAGGAAGACAGAATAACAGAAAACTGAAAGATAAGATAAAGGCAGATGTGAGGTTAGCGGACAACATCCCGGCTGTGTAGTTCTATATAGTTTTAAAGCAGGATACAAATCTGGCTCTAAATTATCTAGTTGTCAAAGAGAAAAACAAGACCAGTTACATAATTCAGAGTGTTTTTAAGATAAAAGACTTTGCTTAGAAAAGTGTAACTATTACTGGCACTGAGGATGGAGAGAAAATTCTCAAGTCCTCATATGAAGAACAACTGAACACCCAGGGAAAGTTTTATGACCGAGGTTCAACATTGACACGTGGACACAGAAAGCAGAGACTAGCCTGGGAGGCCAGCCCTCAGCGTCTAACCCAGGCGGGCAAACCCACACCAGAACAACCTAACCGCTAACTGCAGGCTTTGCTGTAAGCTAAGCCATCGACTCAGGCTTTGCGCTGACGTGAGAAGAAAACTGGGATGCAATGGCTGAGTCACAGATGGGACAGGCACATCACAGCCACCAGGTTTAATGCTCCCGAAACGTAGCTCTCCGCATGTCATTTTCCTCCAAATGGCCCCCTAGGGCCTCTGACACCTCCGGTGAACTCTAAAGGTGAGTGGTATACTTGTTCAAAGAGAGCCCCAAACCTATTTTTGCAAACGTTTTCCCGTGAATCCTCTTACGTATCTTTGTTCAAGTCAAGCCTGGTGCCCCCACTGCTGCTTAGTTGCTTCTCACCAGAAAGACATGTTCCTTCTTTCTCTACCCAAATCCCATGCATTGCAAACTCTAAGATGACAGCCTTCCGGTTCTCTTCAAGCTGAGGTCAGTGATCGCTTCTCTGACACTTATTTTATTTTTGTTAATCTTCACCCGGGCATATTTTTCCATTGATATTTGGAGAGAGTGGAAGGGAGAGGGAGAGACAGAGATAAACACTGATGTGAGAGAGATACATCGATTGGTTGCCTCCTGCATGCACCCTGACCAAGCCCGGGGAACCTGCAATCAAGGTAAGCTGCCCTTGACCGGAATCTAACCCGGGACCCTTCAGTCCACAGGCCGACACTCTATCCACTGAACCAAACCGGCGAGGGCTCTGAGATTCACTTTAGCTGTCCCTTTTTCTCTTGGCTCTCTCCACCTTCCCCTCGGTATTACAACTCATCTTATGGGTCTCATGTCCCCTGCTAGAGTCTCCATGGGCCAGGTTCACGTCCACTTCACTTCGGAACCCCCTAAAGACCACACAGGATAAAATACTCAATTATTTGTTGAGTGAAGGGTGATTTGTGAAGAAGTCAATGAAGAGAGGCTGAAGTGGTGAAAATTGGAGCCTGCCCATACTGTCTTTATTATTTTTTAAATACATTTTATTGATTTTTTACAGAGAGGAAGGGAGAGAGATAGAGAGTTAGAAAAAGCGATGAGAGAGACACATCGATCAGCTGCCTCCTGCACACCCACTCCTGGGGATGTGCCTGCAACCAAGGTACATGCCCCTGACCGGAATCGAACCTGGGACCCTTCAGTCTGTAGGCTGACGCTCTATCCACTGAGCCAAATCGGTTAGGGCTGCCCATATTGTCTTTAATTGTAAAGTGATTAATTACAAACATGTCTTATTTCCCCATCTAAATTCACTTTGGAGAAAAGAATATTTTTATTGATTTTTTTTTTTTTTAGAGAGGAAGGGCGAGGGATAGAAACATCAATGAGAGCGAATCTTTGATCGGCTGCCTCCTGCACGCCCCCTACTGGGGGTTGAGCCTGAAACCTTGGCA